TGATGTTCCTCCCCTCTGTGAAGCCTGAAGTCAATTAAAGTACTAATGATAACTAACAAACCCCTTCCATTCGATAATAATTCACACAATTATTAATATTATTTACCATTAACCAAGCTCTATATCTATCAGTAATGGCTTTCGCGTACTTTTGTCTTGAAATAAATTTAATCATTTTAAGACAAAACTTGGTAACCAAAAACGAAGCCAGGCTACTGATAAATATCATAAAGCCAGCCATTTTAAATAAAAATGATCAGTGAAGAAACTAGAAGCAATAGTAAATATTAATAAATCCTCACTTCTATATATTGAATATTTATATATTGTAATTCTTAAAAGAAAAAAATGTTTAGCGTAAATATAGCATCCTATGACAACCACATGAATTCCAATTAAATAAGATTATATAAATTATAGGTGATAGTAAAGGTAATCATGGTATTAATCCATTGAGACTTCTACAAATAATAAGGATCTCACAGGTATTCCAGGAAAATAACATATGCTGGTAAATGAGCTTGAGTTTTAGAATAATAGTATAACATATATCTAATTTATAAACGCTTAAATTGATTTAACCTGTTCATAAAAAGCGAAAAATTTTGAATTATTTTTATTTTTTAATTTTGAATCGTAATTCGATGCTATTTTTATGCGAAATTTTACAATTTCGAAGAAATTAAAATTTCGTTTTAATCAATTATATTGACCAATGAGAATGTTATACATCATGCATTATAATACGTCATTTTTCGTGGAGAGATCTAGTGTTCTGGTTTTGTCATGAAGGTGTCTTTGTACAGTGAGTGTTAATATCGAGTTATTAATATTAATATATTTACTTTAACTTCTTTTTCTTATTGTTAAATACTCATTCGCTCATTATTTTCTTCAGTTGTAGTAACACTTCTTATTTGTATTTCTACTACTCGTGCTCTATATGGAACCGGTGACCCTGTTACCTTATTAGATGAAAAGAATTTTGATGACTTTATTTCTCAGCCTGGTGTAAATGTTGTCAAGTTCTATGCCAGCTGGTGTGGTCATTGTGAGAACTTCGCACCGACATTCAAAAAAGCAGCCAGTGTTCTTAAAGGCTTTGTCAGTTTTGGCGTCGTTGACAACGACGCTCATGGAAAAATTGGAGATCGGTTTAATATTGGAGGCTATCCTACTGTTCTCATCTTCCGTGGTGACAGATCCGTGAAATCGCCCGCAAAATATTCCGGACCCAGAACAGTTGAAGGATTGGCAGAATTCTTGATGAAACAAGCTCATGATGTGATTGCCAGTGCAGCTAATATAGAAGTAAGAAAAGGTCTTTATTGTAATTGATTCCCTCGTGCTCAGTTTTTACTAATGTTTCTTTTTTCTATTTTAAATTAGGGTGTGAAGTTAGATTTTGACACAAAAGCAAACTGTGGTAGTAGCGGTGGTTCAGGTGGTCATTCATCATCTCAGCATAAAGACACAGACAGCAGACAACAAGGAAGTCAAGAAGCTGAAATTATCCTTACTGATGCCAACTTCGATTCCCTTGTTCTTCAAAGTGATGATGACTGGCTAGTTGCTTTCATTGCGCCATGGTGTGGTCATTGTAAGTTTTTTCTTAATAAACCTTTCCTTAACGTTATCGATGGTCATTTTTATGATATGATTATTTAGGTCAAAATCTTAAACCCGAATGGAGAAAGGCTGCAGAACAGCTTCGTGGAAAGGTGAAAGTTGGTACTGTTGATGCTACAGTTTACGAAAAACTTGGTCAGCGGTATCAAATAAGAGGATTCCCCACAATCAAATACTTCAAATCTGGTGAAGTTGTGGATTATGAACGTGGCAGATCAGCCGAAGATATTGTTGCCTTTGGTTTAGAAAAACACGCTTTGAATGGGCCACCACCAGAAGTGAAAGAGATCACATCGAATTCCATCCTGCACGAAGCTTGTGATGAGAAACAGCTGTGTGTGATCGGCTTTCTACCCAATCTTCTCGACTGTCAGTCAAAATGTCGTAATCGCTACCTTGATGTCATGAAGAATGTTGCTGAGAAACACAAGATAAATAATTGGGGGTCAGTGTTATACTTATTAAGACTGTGTTTTTTAGAAAGGGTTTTTTTCATTACTATTCCATTTTGTAGCTGGTTATGGTCGGGAGCTCGAACCCATAAAAAACTCGAGGAAGCACTCGATATTGGTGGTTTCGGTTATCCCGTGAGTCATTTTGCATCATTTTGTTGTCGGTTATACTCATTTCTTACTTATCAATGTTTTTTTATGTCTTCAGGCATTGGTTACGGTGAATTTAAGGAAAAATAAGTATGCTGTGATGCACGGCTCTTTTTCAGTTGAAGGTATTCGTGATTTCCTCCATGAGCTTGGCCATGGGCGAAGTAGTTCAAATCTAAGAGAGATGAACTCTTTGCCAGAAATTGAAGATTCCAAACCTTGGGATGGAAATGATGCTCCGGTAAGAATATTTCACTTTACTCTAATTACTGGATGTGCCCTATTTTATCAAATAATATTTTTAACCAGGTGTGTGGCTTATTAGTTGCATTAATTCAATTTTTTATCTTTTAGGTTGTGCATGAAGAGGAAATTGATCTCAGTGAACTTGGAATCAAGGTTGATCTGTAAAGGCCAAACATTTTTCCTAAGTTTGATGTATATTTAAGTATATCACTTTGTACTTTGGTTGGGTTAGTAGTTTTCTCGTTTATTGCTCCCTTCGATATTTTACAGAGCAATTTTCGAGAAAGTTAAATAAATGTATTGCAATGGAATCACTCATTTAGTCATTATATATGGTATTCGGGATACATTTGAAAAAATTGGTTGGTGAATACAAAATTAGCCCAATGGACAAGGTAATTGCACTATCGATAGAGTTTTTCCCAATATAACCTGCCATTAACTTTTAATGCAGTGCCGATCCTACCCAGGCCCCTGCCTCAGAACTTGAAGCTGAACTGCTTTCATTATGCTTGTTAGCTGATTAAATTTTGCGCCCCCTGAGAAGGTGGTTAGTGACTTCTTTGATAACGCTCAATGCAACCAATGGTCATGACCTGGGGGGGGGGGGTTGAGGAGTACGGATGCCAAGCATTGGTACTGGTGTAGCCAGAGAAGTGGCTCACAATCATTCCTGAATAAAATTTGGTGGGGTCTGAATAAGGCTACCGATTTACTTGTGGTCCATTAGTCGCTAACTAAGGCTTAATTCAAGTGAAGGGAGGCATCACCTCATCCTCTGCGATGGGGTCACATTCGGAAATCATGAAAGTTTGAGCAAATATAGATTGTATGCCTCGTAAAGTGTCATCTGACCTCATACGAAGCGTTTTCGCTCGGATTTTGACTCGTATCAACAATGGAAATGAAATACTATTACCGCTATTAGCCTTTTTGACAACTATTTAAGGGAATATATCAGCAGCAAACGAACCATGTGTCATCCTCAAAGAAAATGGGCTTTAGAATGGGTGAAGTTTTGATTAACCTTAAAAGTCCGGGAATTCTAACTGGTTGCAATATTTATTTATTTCAAATAGCAGGCTTTATGATAGTTTTCACTAGCCCTTTAGCTGATTTCGGGCTTCACAGAGGGGAGGAGGGACATCAAAGTGAGGAAAATTTGAGAAGGGGAACAGAAAAGTGATTCAAGGATGCAAAAGAGATAGACAGACAAAAAGGGGTTGAAAAGGTAAGGCGAGTACTATGGAAGTGGTTGAATATGACATACAGTGGGGTGGTGGTAGTTTGAAGTGAGAAGTCAACCGCCGGTTTATAGACTTTTTTGCCGTATGAGAATGTAGGACATATAGGGGGGTCATGGTAGTTTGAAGTGAGAAGAAAACTGCCGGTTTGGTCATGGTAGTTTGAAGTCAGAAGTCAACTGCCGGTTTTGGGGTGATGGCAATTTGAAGTCAGAAGTCAACTGCCAGTTTAGTGAGGTCATGGTGGTTTGAAGTCAGAAGTCAACTGCCAGTTAAAGTGATGGTAGTTTGAAGTCAGAAGTCAACTGCCGGTTTACGGACTTTTTGCCGTATGAGTATACGTTGCCCAGGGTGCACCGACTTTTTTGCCGTATGAGTATACGTTGCCCAGGGTGCACCCCATGGCGGTAAGTCTCTCGCACACCCCACTGGTTGGAATATAAGAGTAGATAAGATAGATAAATTGAGCAAGAATTGCAGAATTTAGTGTTTCGGAGGTAATTTAGGGTATTTAGAGATATTGTATATGACTTCCAAGTTCTTCTGCCAATTGATTGAATTCAACGTAATTATCAAAATTATACAAGTTAGTGAAACTTAATTACACGCCTAGTCGTGCTTTCGGGTCAAGCGTTAAGTATTCAAAGAATTCGACCAAAGCCCCCTCACCCCCCCCCCCCCCCCCCCCCCCGCCGATTGCCCATCAAGTCCACCGTTCAGTCACTGACCCTATGTTCCCAACTTTGCAAGCGCGTACGCTAATAGCTGTACCCCGGCAAATCTTAGTAATTTTATTAACTAATTTAGATAAAAAATGAGCCAACTATCTTCATTCACCGTAACGCTAACTGCGCATGTACACTAGGCATTCTTATACCAAGCACTTCACACGGATTTCCAGCGTTAACTCCGCTTCCAAGAGACTAGTGGCACTGAATCGCCTTATGTCTCAACATAATTGGCTCCTTTTATTTGGACTTATGTAACGAATCTGCGTTACGCTAATATGCCAATGCCACACGAAGAATCGCAATTAAAACTCAGCCGTGAACATGGCATTTAACTTACGAACTCACTTTTAAAGGTGGGTTGTTATTCTGAAAGTTGACGGTTTTAATGGGAGTACTTTAAATAACGAGGATAAAATTTTATTTCTACTTAAAACTATCGGTAGTATGAAATATTAAATACAAATGAAATTGTAAATAGTTTCCCCGATTTAACGTTGGAATGGTGAACACTAGTCACTTGCATAAAAAAAATTGAGACCAACTAGTAGAAGCGAAATTGAGGTCAGTTGACTTGTAATTTCGGCCAGTTGTAACGAAAAGCATGACAAGGCGAAAGTGGCTGCTTCACATAATCGCCATCTTCTGCTTCTAGACAGGTCAAACCCGACTCGAGATCTGGGATCATGAAAATGAAGTATTCGACGCTACATTATAAGACAAACTAGTTGCAGACAAATACAATGAGTTCCTACTAACAATTTGGACCCAAAATTCGGTAGGATATGCTTAGAATAGCAAGAAACCAGAAAATATGCAACGAACAGCTTTTGCTGCTTAGATTGCTAACTAGCTAAATGCATGACCCTTCAATGCAAATAATATTACTCCACATTGCATAAACTTGAGTGCTGATTGGCTGTAATGCTTCTGCACGCACCGTCGCATTATCCACAGTGATCTTGCGCGCATGAGATTACTTTGATCAACCTTGATAGCACTGTGACCTTCACAACTGCCACTCCTTAAAAATGATATCCATTTAGTCTTCCCCATAATTTTCTTCAAATCCATAAACCTAATCGAGTGGACAGTTCCCGACTGGAAGCATTTCAAATTTAAAAATCGTAACTTCTAATACTCAGAAATTGTGACTTGAAGATGATAATTCACAGTTTCATTTTCCTTCGCCCTTAGTCAAAATCTAATCAAATAGTGCTATTTAGTGACCATCTTTCCATTGAATTAAGAAGATTATTTCAATGAAATATTTGGAACTTTGGTCTCAAAATATGAGTAAATAGAAGAAATTCAAAGGGCAAATTTATTGATTATTACACATGATTTGGGGATATGTACACGGAAAAACAGGTTATAAGTAATTAAAACACTGACTATTCATAAATACTTTCACAAATATTAATCAAAAACGTTGACCGCCGGAAATTTTCCATCTGAAATAGATAAAAATAGAAAATATTTTCATGCCATTTTAATTAATCACCTTGAATTGACCATTAAGAATTTATGACAAACTTGCCTTGAAGATATTAACACTCAGAGTCTTGGGATGAAGGAATTTTCCCCATTATTGTGAAATTGCTTGCTTCTTTAAAAATCATTACTCTCACTCTGGGTAGTTGACGGGAACGAGAAGATGGGCTGACCACTGATAGTGATCTTGGAGAAGTGATTCGCAGTAGATTCGCAAACATCGTCAATTATGTGTAGAAGCGTTTCTATTTGGCATTGAGAGAGTCTAAAATTCATCAACCTAAAGTAGCTGAATTTGCTAAAAGCTCAAAGCAACAATTTTCGATGTAGGGCCCGTGAGAGACAACCATTAATAATTCCACTCAAGACTCATTGATGTTTTGTCCAATCAAATTTTCGATTTAATGTTACTATGATGAATTAGATAACGTAATACCATTGAACTATTGATTGAATTAGTTATTTTAGCCTCTCTTAACTTAGGCCAATCTAATTATTTTCCCCGAAAGACTAAAAAATCAAGATAATAAAATGGTCTTACCGCATTGGTTGGTTGAAATTGAGTAATTTGTCTTGAGAAGTGAAGGATAAAGGAGAGAGGCCAGACTCAGAGAGTGCATTTCGCAGCCGATTTGTGATTTGTCTGCAGGCTCGCCGGTGAGCTCCCGAAAGACCTTTCTGGAGGGTTCGGGCACATCGCTCCTGACACGATTGAACGTACATTTGGACCTCGGCTAAATTGGAAAAGTGTAAGAGATTTCGTTAAGACATTACCTTTAATCTAAAATAGACGAAAGTAATTAGGCTTGTGATCAAAGATAAGGTAGTTCATTACTTAGTCTTTTTAATCCACTCTTTAAAGGTCTCAAACCTGTATTGTGAGTCCACAAACCACGGTTGTATTAGCTTAACATCAGTATGAAGACAATTAATTGTCATTCAGATTGTTGCGCAATAGCCATAAATAGTATGCTAACCAATATTTAAAAAATAAAATTTCAGATTATTATTCGTTTATAGAAGATTTGAGCCGAAAACATATTCAAATCTAGTCTGATAATGACGCTTCCGAAGTGAATTTTGATCCCATTATAGAAAAGACTGATCTTTAGAAGAAACCCTAATTATATTACTTTTCTAGTAAATATGCATCTGTTTTTTATGACATCTCATGTATTTGAAAGTGGAAATAAAACTATCGAAACCTAGAAAGATTGAGCTCAAACTCCACACGATGAAAAACCTCCCAAGTCCACAAGGAGAAGCAAATAGCAAGGAAACGCACACTTTACTGCTACAACAAAGAAATTAATATTTACCATAAGAAATAATTCTTTCTTATAGATTTCTTAATTACCACCTGTCAAATCCCTTTTACGCGGACGAATCAATTTACGTTGTGATTTTGAATGGAACAATATAAACCGACCTCTCGATAGGAAACATGTGTCTCGTCGTACTTATAGAGTACTTTCTTAGGGAATCAAAGAAACCGTTAAGAAAATGTTAGAAAATAGCATATCCCGCTTCTCTTATTGGCCAGTTTTAACCTATCTCCTGATCCAGTACTGACCTTAATAATCAGAATTACTTCTTGCGGATTGAGCATTACTGCCATTAGAAATGTATCGATAGGTATCGATTTGTACGTAATTGGGAAATTTTTGACAATGAGACAACTTTTATGCCTTCTAAGTAATCTATGGAGCTGTAATTAAATCAAAATATGTCAAATTACCAAACAGACCAAACAAGCAAAGTCCTAATTGAGCAAAATTGTAATTTCAAGCAATTTTAAAATCAATGCAGTAATATTAAAACAACATGAGGATAGAAGACAATGAATATGAAATAACCCACATTTAATCTGACTTATAATTTCTCCCGATTCAGTAGTTTGGGTATTCTTCGAGTCAATTGAATGACGAGCAATTTTGCGTATTATTTCAATCTCAACAGATAAGTCTGCAGCTACTAAATCACCAAGCAGTTTCAGCAGTCCTTCAACAACAGGATCGCTAGCACTCATTGTGTTAATTTTCAATGCCAGTTCCGTTTGTTCCTTCTTGAGTAGCTATGATGTAAATTACCAAACTGAAATGCTGTTTTATAATTTAACTAATACAACCTTCCAAAACTTACACCATATTCCATAATCACCGCAAGTAAGGAATTAGCCAACACAACAGTGAATCGTTTCATAAGTGCCAAAGCAGTTTTACGAAGGAGTGATCCCGTGTATTTCTCAATGGAAGGCAGAAGACACTCTACACCACCGATAGATACAAGATCATTAAATAGTTCATTTGAAAAGAGGACGCTCAGAAGTGGAAACTCATGGGGAGAAATCAAAATCTTCGACTCGCATGGAGTACATTCAACTGCACGGTCTTGGGTAACTTTGGGCTATAAGTGGATAGGAGATAAGTAGGAAGCAAAAAACACTTACAGATTTGAGTCTGTCTAATTCAGTCTGATGCTGTCTTATACAAGCAGCCATACGGGAGTCAAACTCTGCCTGACATTCGGATCGAACTCGCTCCAAATGCACTTTCGTTCTTGCTTCCGATTCTAACAACCAGCCATTTCGTGCCAATTCAACTTGATGTGGCAACTCTTCCCGCCAAAATCGAATACGCTCGTTCTCACGTTCTTTCATGGCCTAGGAAGGGGAGCATACACGAAAGGAAAGGTGTACCTCAGTCATAGTCAACTGCACAGCTTGAGCAGTAGCCTCTTTCGCCTCCTGAAGCATAGCATTAACACGTTCAAGCTCATTACGATAAGTCGTGGCTTCTTCTCTGTACAGAGAGGGAAAAAATAACTATTAGTAACAAAAATAGTACACCAATGGAGCATTGGTTAATGCCAATGGTAGTAGTCTTTAGAGCACTCCCAGTAAGTCTGCTTACAAAAAAGAAGACACAAATCGAGGTACTGTCCCAGGATGAGTGTTGGAGAAGGCTTTCCTAAATGGACTTTGAAGGCAAGCGTACCGAGCAGAAACAGTTAAATCATGCTTATTAAGGGTTGTTTGGGAGGTTGTTTAGAAGGAAAATTATTACCAAAAGAATGGTACAACTGAAAGTTGCAATACTATCAAAATAAAATTCAACGTAAGAAAGATTATTGACGCAAGTCCAGTTATCCTAATCTGCAACTGACTCGTTGAAGTTCAAGAGAATATGAGACGCGGACAGTTGTCAGGGCCAATGGGGTAGACGCTGACTGCAAGCACCAATCAGGTCATGTCTCATTATAGTGATTGAGCTCTGTGTTTCCAACCACTCATTAATCGCCATCCAATTTCAAATTTGATACCAAAAAAAGAATCCAAAACCATTATTCACAATCACTTCCGTCCTCAGCAAATCTCAGATAACAAAGATATTCTCCGAGAGTGGTGACAATAGGTAATGAGGATTAGTTCCCACAAGATGTGATAAACGCTAAACGATTAAACACTGACCTAGCAGTGAGGGTCTCTTGCTTAATCTGTGCCAGGGCATTTTCATGCTCAGCAGTGAGTTCAGCTTCGATGCGTCGTCGAGCTGCAGCGTAGTGGGCTTCACAAGCAGCTCGAGTGCGCTCGATAGCTGCCTCCCGTTCGGAGGCACTTGCTTCCACTCGTTCTCTGGCAGTTCGTTCTGCACCTACAGCTCGGGCTTCTGCTGCCTGTGCATCGGCGAATCGGCTTCGAGTCATCTAGAAAACATCAGCACATAAGACAAAGATATACCTATATCTGATAGAATGATAGCAAGGCGTCAAGTGAGATGGAATACAGTCCACTTCTTATCCATGCAATATGCATGCAAATTTTAGTAAATCGATTCGAATATTTTCCCCGTGAATATAAACTGAAGTTCGCGAGCACCATTCATCTCATGCATGGGATTATTGATTGGTATTATTATCGTCAAAACACTTTTGACTAAACAGACAGCCAATTATGCTTACTTACATAATACTAGAATCACTTTAAGCGACAGTTCTTCCTCACTTCTTTTCCTAGGTGCAATGGCAGTGGCTGCTTTATATTGGCGGACAGAAACATTAACTCCCATTCATATTGATGCTTACGCTTTTTTCACAGAGTATAAGGAGTATCTTACCTGAAGTTCGTTTTCAAGATGATGATAATCGACTTGTAGTCTTTCCAACTGACCGGTGAGAGCCATCTCACGTGGTGTAGGCTGTCGAGTATCAGGCTGCAAATTCAACTCCCTTTCCAATGCCAGTACACGCACCTACAATTGAAATTCATACTAAACTATTAAAGTCTTCTAGCATATACCAGTTGCCTTACCCCTTTCACCACAGTTTTGAAAATAATTGTTCTATTTTTTTCTAATAATTGGAGAAGCTGACATAAGTTTCATGACACACGGTATATTTAGAATTATCGAGATCAATACTATGCACAGAAATTACATATTTTAATCTTCCACCATTGACAAAAAGGTCAAGGTACAGCTGATTTATAGATGGATCTACCATATTCGGCCATATTGGAGTAGGGTTGATAAATACCACTCGATCAAAAGTCAGAAGAAAAGGTTTCCATATACTTCTCAAAATTATTGTTTTAACCGTCTAGACTTTCAGTTGCTTGCCTCCCAAACTAATCTCAATCTTTGGCATCAAAATAGTGGTCCTACAATGGATTCCTGGTCACGGTGGCATTCAAGGCAATGAGCTTGCTGACACACTTGCTAAGAAGGGGACAACGATTTTGCAATGCATGGACTGTCCGATATCTTTCCACACAATGAAGGCCTTAATCAGGAGAGAATTCAAGACCTCAAGGTGCAACGAACTTAAAGCTCGAACAAAGGAGAAACAGTGGACAGTGGCACTCTCCGACATACCCGACTGGCCAAGAATCGAAGCCGTTGCTGAGTTTAGACTACGTACCGGACACGATTGCTTGGCAAAACACCTTCACAGATTAGGAGTATACAGCCCAACCCACATGCCCTCTATGTAACCTACAGGAGGAAATGGAGAAGACCAACCTGATTCGA